GAACTTATTCATTCATTGTAATTCATCCGAAAATACAATTTATTCATAAATAAGGTGAAAGCTCCGATTCAGTGATCATTTGCAATCGTCGTTTATCCAACAGCACAATGGTGAATTACCCAATGGTGGGCAATAACGCGCTACTTGTATCCAAAGTGAATATTTGTAGTAATAACTTCCATTAAAATAATTTTCAGCGGCATGAATTAGCGATAACATGCGCTACTTTCTTTGCTTAGCATTTTAGCGAACCCACTTTTCTGTAGACTTCCGCTAACTGGCTGCTGTTGGCCAGCAAGGCAGTGATTATTTTTCCAAAAATAAGGCATCAAAAATTTATATTTTCGTTGTAACGCTGACCAATACTAAATCCGAACTCTCGTCAGTTTTGCACGGAAGCATGCCTATATCTGTCCATGGTTGGACTCTCCAGAATCTCGTGTTTTTTTTCCGGAGGAAAGTGTGTATGTTGCGGGACGATTTCGTTTAATCCAAGTAGTAAAAAAGATTTTCCGAAGCCATCTCACGTAGCTGAGCCGCTCATTCCAACACGTTGTATTTGCATTGATCAATAAATACAGGGAATAGGTAATATCAAGATCACCATTTTCAAATTAACAGTGATTTCAGGTTTGCAAAGAAGCATGCCTATTTCTCTGCATCATCGCATTCTCCAGATTCTCCAGTTCCAGAGAAGTATATTTGTTGTGGGGCGATTTTGTTTATAGCACGCAATATTAATGATTTTCTGAAGCAATCTCACATAGCCAAGTCATCTCATTTCGATACATTGTATTGTATGGTTCAATGTATAAAAGGAATTAGCAATATCACGATCACCATTTTTAAACTAACGGTACTCTCAGGTTTGCACGGAAGCATGCCCATTTCTATGCATTTTTGAACTCTCCAGATTCTTCTGTTATACGTTGTCGGGCGATTTCGTTGAATACATGTATTACAAAATGTTTTCTAAATCCGTCTCATCTAAGTGAGGCGCTCATTTCAACACATTATATCTGCATTGATCAATATATACAAAGAATTAACAATATCAGGATGGCCATTTTCAAACTGACCGTACTCTCAGGTTTGCACGGAAGCATGTCTATTTCTCTAAGTCTTTGGATTCTCCAAATTCTCTAGTTTCAGAAAACTATTAATGTTATCGGGCGATTTAGTTTAATCCAAATAGTACAAAGGAATTTCTGAAGCCATCCCACTTAGGCACTAATGCAAATATTCTTTCTCGTAGTATTCAGCAATTCCCTTCATGATGATTGGAAACGTTACGATCGTATTGATTTTTGAGGGAACATTAATAAAGATTTTCGCACTAAGAACCTGTTCGGTTATTTATATATTTATTTATTTGTATATATATACAAATATGCGTTCATTTCATTTATTCGATATATCTTTATATTATATGTACATGTACGTATGAAGATAATAAACTGGTTTTATGCATTGTTTGATGAGATATTGTATATCGATCATTATAGGACGACAGCAACGGATAGAATGGTTGTGTATTTGTTAATATGAGTGATTAATGGATAGAAATATGGTGAAGAGGGAAATGGGGAAGTGGATTTTATGAATGTGATAATGCGAATTTGCATCTGTGTTTAAATCGTTTCGATTTTATTATAATATCACAGCTCATTGCTGATTCATACTATACCGAATGCACTTTATTGACGCAGATCACATTCCATGAAAATGGTTATCGAATCGGCGATTTGAATAATAACGAGTATTTTGCAAATCAATTGATAAAGTCGATTATGATCACCGAGAGCAGCATTTGATCGTCGTCATTTCAAGAGCATCACAACTGGGCATTCATCATTCATTCCGCTCTTCTGGTTAATTCCGTTCCAGTTCACGCTGTTCTCATCGAATTGCTCAAATAGCTATGCAGTCGTGTTGTGCTATCTTCTCTACGTGTTACTCTTCATAATCATATGGTTTGATATTACCGTTCTATCGATCCGGCTGGCTCCCTGTACCATAACAAATTTCAATTTTCCTCCCGCATCATTCGTCAGTTACTGTTACAATCAACATCATCGTACACGCAACGTTTATTTATATTCTACAGTTTACATCATCTGATATCATTCCATAACTTTGTATCATTTTATAAATTAATGCCAACAACTGTAATGCGATATATTTACCAGATTCATTTGTTTACATAATACACCACATTCTACATTTAACACTCACTATACATATTTTCATAAACATGCTCTAACTTCCCCAGTCACCCGTTTCGTTTATTTATCTCCACTTAAAACATATTCCAGTCATGACAAGTAGTGCCATTATATGATCATTCGATAACTCATTTCACTTTTCCGTTTGGAATGAAACGAAACTCATATGGAAACTTATTAATGATGCACGTTTAATTTCGTTAAATTATAATGATTTACTCGTATGTTCTATTACAGTGGTCCGCACGCTTTTGATGTTCTGAGAGGTCGTCATTACCCCCACCTCCTCCTGCTACAATGATACTATCTCTACGTATAACATCAGAACTAATTTCGCGACCCCCTTCATTGCCCCCTGACACCTCTAAATTACCCAAAAAAGGGCAACTTCCCTTGTTTTGGGGACCGCTGTTCGATTGTATCGCGTCATATTAAGAAATGGTCACAATCAAGTATCGAATCATTATTATAATAAATATTGAATTCATAGTGAATCTGATTGCCCTGTGATTGTATTGATCCATATTTCAATTGTCTAATGAAAGCCGGCCGTATGAACTGGACTCGTACAGCCGAGTTTTTGAAAACTTTACGAAGTAGGTCGCAATATGGGTAGTCGTTATCTTCACGGGGCTGAGGATTTCTTTTGAAGCTTACTCCAGATCTAGTTTGAGGTTTACTTCGGACTCAGGCTGATGCTTTCCACGCACTCCAGCAGAGGCTTATCGCATAATACTCTGTGGACTGCCTCAAACAGCCTTCAAAAACTCGTCCGTCCGTAAGAGTTGGACTCATA